GATAGCCTCCAACTACAGGATTGGGAACTTCAAATTTAGAAGAAAAAAATTCGTTGAAAATTTTTTTGAAAATTTTTTTGAAAAAAACGTCGTATCTCGAAAACTACAAAAATTTCAGCAGTCAGATTTGGAGGCAAGATTCGCATCCTTTGAGAATACTCTAAAAGCACCTAACTACAAGGTTGGGAATTTCAAATTTTGAAAACAAAAGAAATCAAGTTTATTGAAAAATTTTTGAAAAAATCACGAAAACGTCATATCTCGAATTTGAGCAGTCATATTTGGAGCTAAGGTTCGCAACCCTTATGAGTACCCAGACAGCAACCAACTTTCGAAAGATCGAAAAAAAAATAGAAAAAAAAGAGAAAAAGTTCCGAAAAAGAAAGATCGAAAAAAAAGATAGAAAAAGAAAGATAAAAAAAGATCGAAAAAGAAGGATCGAAAAAGAAGGATTGAAAAAAAAGACAGAAAAAACAAATAAAGAGAAAGAATTGTAGACAACCGTTTGACAGTAGTATTATTTTGAACTCAATCGTCGAAACCAAATTGAAAGTTGAAACATTAGGAGACAGGTAGACATATTTAATCAAATTAAATGAAAAAGCAGGTATACAGACAGACAGACTTAATTTGGCATCGAAAAAAAATTATTGAAAAATTATTGACCTTTCAGAAAACTAAATGAAACATTTTAAGCATTGCAATATATGATATAGCTTAAACATGAAAAAATTCTTTCGTTAAACATACAAAATTATTATGCTTAAACATGGGAGATAGCTGTCACTCGCATTTAAATATAGTATAGATTACGCCAAAAATTACAAAAACTCGTTTTTTCCAAAAGTCAAAAAATGCAAACAACCAACGCTGTTAAAGCCTGTTTTAGAAAGCAAAGCAAAAACTATCACAACAACGACAATTTCGGCAGGATAAGAACCAAAACTCATTAACTCTCTCTCTCTCTCTCTCTCTCTCTTTCTTTCTTTCTTTCTTTCTTTCTTTCTTTCTTTCTTTCTCTCTTTCTCTCTTTCTCTCTTTCTCTCTTTCTCTCTCTCTCTCTCTCTCTCTCTCTCTCTATCTCCTTAAAACAATGGTCACTTATTTTCTTATCTGAAGCTCAAAACTTAGCCCATAGACAATTGGAGAAGGAAAGACATGATTAATTTTAAAAAAAAATTCTGGAAAGACAGTACGAAAGGGCCAATGAGCTGACACACAGTGACTGAAAACAATGACTGACTTCAATTTGAGTTCTAAGATATTTATCACCTGAAAGCTATCTCAATTCCATGCATATTTTATGAAGGAAGCTTTTTTTGATACAGAATTTGAACACAGAGGCAAAGCAAACCTTCGTACCACTTGTGATACAACACAAAGATAGCCTGAGAAAAAAGACAGTCAGAAATTGAAGCGAAAACGGCTAAAAAAGTTCGAAAAATTCCAGAAAAGCAAAATTATATTGAACAGCAGTTGGTAAAATTGAACCCAACATAAAACATAGCCAACAGACAGTTGGAAAAGGGTCGATGAACGAGTAACCAAAAAAAATCTCGAAAAAGTAAGAAATTTTGATTTCAAAAAATGGATGACCTTAAAAGCTCTTTCACCTTCTGAAACAATTTACGATTGGCACTTAGTTAATAAAATTAACCCAAGTTGAAAAAAATAGATCATTAGGTATGTTTTTATTTCGCCGGAAAACATGACAAAACAATCAATTGCAAAATTAGAAGTCCATCGCGTTTTTTGTCACTTTTACACTTTCGCTGTTCCATAGTGCAATTTAATTTTTTCAACAAAGGAAATGAATTTCAAAGAGAAAAATCAAAAGTCAAACCGCGAAAAATAAAATAGAGCGTGAACAAATTAAAATCATTAGGACCTATATAAGAGTCTAAGCTACGTTCATCGACTCTTAAAATCAAATATTGAAGAGAACGGGTAATATATTGCAAATATGGTCAAAAAGTGCATGTTGGTTGACGAAGGTAAAGATTTGAGAAAACGATTTAGTGATTTGGTTGGACAAGTTAATTACAAGAATCAGTCTATGTTCCGATTGATAACACTTGCCAATCGCTGGCTCAATCATCGCATACGTAATTACTCTGGATACATTAATGGACGGAGCGAGCAAATCGATTAAAAAAGTACTTCCCAACAAATTAATTGACTCCACCAATGGAGCTTTAGAAAGGGCATTCAGAAACATCCAGGCATCCATGCTACGGGAACTAAGCCGAAAATTAGCAATAGACATGATATTCCACAAAATCTGAAAATTTCGAGTCTGAAAAACAACAAGTCCCAGGCGGAATCGAACCACTAACATTTTCCGTTTCAATCAGGTGTTACCTCCACATCAGACGCGCTGGATGGCTGATGGACTTTGACTTCATTAGGACGCAAGATGAAGTCTTGCCAGCAAAGTTGTTTACGGAAAAAACTCTGGTATCCGGTAGCAAAACCCTTGCTAAAGGAAACAATCGGCAGTTTCTATTAGGACTCAATTTTAAAACAAAGTCATCATGTTTTGGCAGGCTCCCTAAGAACTTTCGTTATTGGAAAGCTTAATTTGCCTTTCATTGAGCAAATGAACTTGAAGTAACGGTTAAAAATACCAAACCGTGAAAAAAAACAATAATGAGTGTGAACTTCGGAAAACTGTCTTCATTTTGAATATTACTTGAAAATTGTCTTCATTTTGATTCTCGCCGAATAATTATAGTTCAGTAAAGACACAACAAGAAAAAAGTCAACATAGTGTGAATGAAAACAAACATTGCGAAAAAACAAGATTGGCAAAGGTGGCCTCGAAAAAGTTTTAAATTGATTTTAAAAGAACAAAAAACGTTCTTAACATTTAAAACTAGTTCAATACAAGTATAAAAAATCATTATTTTCATCCTAACAGAGGAAGGACCTATGGATCCACGCGAGGAAGGGGCAACTCATCCAGCAATGCCACCGGGAAAAATAGGCCGAGGCGACCTCTGCGAAACGCGAATGCGACTGGGAGAGGTGATTCCACAAACTGGAACACTCAAATCAAGGAAGATCTCAGCCCAGTGATTCGGACAGAAGGGAAACGGATAATAACGATCAAGCGGGACATTCACGTGATGCAGCGGCAATGGCCAAAGCGTTTGAACCTCTCAACGGGTCCTTGGAAACTTTCCTCACGAAGTTATCTAGGACCAGTGAACGCAGCGAGAAGTCCAAAAGGGTATTTCAGAAACTAAGATGCTATACGGACGAATCTGATGGCTTTAAAGATACCTGGATAGAGGTCATGAAGTGGCACTTTAGCTTTGTCAATTGATATCGGAGACCTGTACTAACGAACCATAATTTCACGCCAAACTGCTCTCAAAACAAGTACCATAAGCTTAGATGCAGGGCCAGCCAAATCGATTTTCATGGCAGTTGCTGTTTTTAATTGAAGTAAAATGGTGTGTATTGAAGTAAAAAAAAAAATTGTGTGGGTTTCTTCAAAAACAACACCAAGGAAATGAAGTGAACTTAAAAAAAACCAAAAGTCAAGCCGCGAAAATTCAAAATTGAGCCTGAACAAATTTTAAGACAAAAACTATAAATCATCAAGAACTGTAAAAGAGTACTTACTACGTTTATTACTCTTAAAAACCACGGCCGAGAAACGCACCTAGCAGAGTTTAATTAAAATTCATTATTATTTACAGAGCGTCCACTTTTCTAACAATACTAAGGTAGACACCCGTTGAGCCGAGAACAAAACAAGTCGACGACAAAAAAAAACAACTCAGGATTTCGACCACCTGCCGACCCAAAAGGTACCCCTTTGTACTATTTTAAAACATCCGTTTTCGGCTGACTGACCCTGTAAACTTTCTAATGGCGCCTTTGGCACCAAAAGATACTAGTTTTGAGGTGGGAGAGCGCGCCAAAAAAAACGCAATTTTTTTCGTCAAAATTATCCAAAAAGTGTCTGGTACGCCTTTTTTTTTTCAAAAAAGTTCCTGTGGCGCAGAAATTTAGATCTTTATAGTGATTTGTGAGAGCTCAGAAAACCAATCTGATCTAAAAAAAAAGTCGAAAAAGTCGAAATATTTTTTTGAAAATTCGCAACCCTCCCCCCCTCCCGTGGAGAAAACCCTAGATCCGCTCCTGTTTTGAAACACTATGTCAAAACACTCTTGTTTCAAAAGATCGAAGCCCTGACATTAGCGGTTAATTTTTTCAAATGGCACCAAATTTTTCTTTTTAATATAATAAATCCTGCCAAACTTTTTGAAACTGCCGATAGGAACTTCCATAATAAAATTCGAGAACTTATTCATTGAACATTTTCCCTCCTAATCCAAATTCTTTTTCAACTTCGGTTTGAGACAATGTTTTCTTTTATTTCTTTCGAACTGAGTTCATGGCACTGGTGATACATGCATGATGCATATACTGTAAAATGTTAAAATTAAATTTAATGGCGAACACTGGATCAATAATTGGGCCTTAAATTTTTTTAGAGCGCGCGAAGAAAAAGAATTGCCCTATAAAGTGCAATTAGAAAAAGTAGAAATAAGCCTCGAAAAAAAATTAAAATTCGGCTAGATGTAAGATTCAATCTGCGACCTAGAGATTATGAGTCTCACGCACTAACCAGTCAGCCACGGACGCTTAATAAATCACAAACACTCGCAACAAATCAAGCAGAGAAAAGATGCTATGAAATTTCCATTACCTCAGATTGTGATTATAGCAAAAATGAACGATTTTAATGAACACTTTTATTGACGATTTAGCTTAGAAAAAAAGAAGATTCGTACTAATACACTAACGCTCGCATGTGGCTAGTGTAAATATCCCTTTCGCTCAAAGAAAAAATGCAGGGAGAGTTTTTTATGAAAACTGGTAACCAATCAAATAAACAAAATAAATGCCATCCAGTTTTCATCTCGGGAACTAATGATTAAAAAACTACAGAGAAAAAACTTAAAACTTTGACTTTAATTCTATACCTTGTGGGTGTGTAGCTGTGTCTTGATTCCGCAGCTGGCACAGAACTTGAGTTGACACGAATGGCATCTGTGTCCGGCCGGGGTGGAGGCGGAGGCCGGTTCGAACTTGATGCGGAAGCATATCTGACACACTGTCCCATCCACTATGCCCATAGAGCGACTCTGCTCCTCCAACACCTTCACATCCTTCTCCAGTTTCTCAAGTTCCCCCTTCGCCCGACTACAACAACAACACGCACATTGTAAAACGCACAACAACAACAACAACATTCTGAACAACAAAAACAATTACTAAAATATTCAGACCCGTTTTTCTCGACACCGACACAAAAAAGAGCTTTGTTTGAAAAATTTCAAAATTGGAAAAAAAACCTAGCATAGTTCCTTCCACCTCGCGATGTGGTCGGAACAGCAAATAAGAGCAAGAGTGTGGCTGACTTTGTCTGAAATGGGGTTAGGTCTTCATTACAGGCTTCAGTACATCTAATTTGTTCATTCGAGTCTGGTAAAAAGGTCCATTTTATAACTTTTCTGGCAAAAGGTCGGTCTTGCTAAAAGGTCGGTCCCGTCTGAAATTACTTAGCAAGATATGCAATAAGTATATGTATGATATATATATCGAATATGTATTTGTACAATGGTGTGTTTTGCTATGGCACCATATATATGATACTTTTGGTTTTGATGGTTGACTGCATAACAACAGTGGCAGTTTGGAGCATGAAAATGGGAGCGGGAGTCAGAATGGATTGAAAGGGAAAGAGCGGCGGTGGAATAATTGGAGGTAATTGACGATTAAATGGATGAAATCATGCTTGCTAATTCGAGCAAGTGCCTTCTACATTCATTCAGCAGCATAAGCATTTGTTTCTTTTTCTCAATCACTCCTTATTCCACTTATTTCACCTTCAGTCCGTCTTACTTACAACAGAAGAGAGAAATCAAAATGATAGGAGCTGAGGAAGATGAAAAAAGAGGCTAACAAGAAGAAATCACATACAATTCTAAGTGCCGAATGAATTTGACAACACACCATCACATATCATAACCATCAAAGGCTGCTCTGGATTAATACATTCCACTTAATTAGCCGAACACAAAAGACGAACTTTAAATACAAAACGGCCAAAATGACCGTTAGTTAAAAAATGCTTTCACATTTTAGAACTATCTCCGTGCTTCTGCACGTCCTGAACACGTTCAAAAAATCAACTCAGTAGCAGATTTGTGTGTGTGTGTGTGTGTGGGGGGGGGGGGGGGGCTCTAGCGGACGTACTTTTGGTATCATGGATTGGGCAACCCTAAGGTTTCCCCCATTTGGTATCATTATACGACATTCATTTTAAGCCGACCCTACTTAATATTTTTTATCAAGACGCCAATGCTTCCACATATACGAACTTTGAGAGCGCGCGGCGAAAAAAAAACAGGTTTTTAGTCAAAATATTGCAAAAAGGGACCAAAACGGCTCTTTTGGCCTGTTTTTTTTTTTGAAAATTTGCATGCGGCGCACAAAATTCTGGAAAATAAGGTCTTTATACTGTTTTTCGGAAAGCTCGCAAAATCTTTTTGTTCGACCCAAAAAAAACATAAGTCGGCGCTCCTTTTCTGTGAATGAATTAGACAAAAATTCTGCTTTCAAATCTGTCTGCTAGTTGCAGCTACTCTATCATTCCGGATTTTAATCACAAAAAGGGAAGACATGGCATGGTATATTGGAATATGTTTATCGAAGGGATGGACAGCACACGAAAGGTAATAGTGGAAAATTGAGCCAAAGAATCACAAATATTTACAATCAGCACGGAAGAACGGTGGTGGTCGGTGTTCCAGTATACCATACTATGAAATACCAAATAACATCCACTGGATTCGACCTGGTTTTAATCTAATTGTACGCTCAATCACACACACACACACACACACACGCCAGCAAAACACAACAAATCAGACCATAGCACCACATCATAGCTGATACCATCACCGACCACCGACCGAGTTCTCTTGTTTCCTGCAAAATATTTACCACCAACCCAGCAGCTCCACTGGACTAGATCGACACTAGCAAAAACCAGACTTTCTTCAAAATGATCACTTAACCGCCCAGATTGCTCATATCAGGGCGAAGCCCTTAGCGCTCTCAACTCTCCGCGACTTCAATTCAATTTCTTAAAAGCATATTACTCAAAGCAAAATAGAAAAAACCCTCCTTCAAAAAATCTATTTGTGCATCTTCAAGTTAAAATAGTATAGTGTCCAATTGTAACGAAGTTGATATAATAGAACAAAAAATCAATTTGGATATAATCGAGCAAAAAATCATTTATTTTTGAAAACAGAGGGAAAAAATTACAAACAGGTTTCACTTTCATATTAAAAAGATGTATATTTGTCCCGCTCATAAAATAAAAACAGATATCGAGTTTAAAAAATCAAGCCTCAAAAAATGAATGAACTAAATCAATAACTTTTGAAGATATAAACTTGAAAGCAAGACTTGAAGTGATGATCCAACATCCAAAACAAGTTCCAGCTATAACAAAAAATCATCATAAGCCAACACAATGTAAGGCACCAAAAACCAGAGATGGTCTTTACTTCGACGTTAATAGTCTCCAATTTGGGACTTGGATGCTGGAAAATATGTATTCTTATACACTATAGAAGAGGAAAATAGAAAAAAAAAGGTGTGGCAAGTTCATTGCTCCGGGGAAAATGATGAAAACAACTCCCACCCTTAAATTGATCTACTTGGATACAGGAAAACCAGACCAGGTTGGGAATTCTTAGCCCTATTTGGAGTAGAAATCAAATAGATAGCTCATATCACGTCAGCCGGATGCGTCTCAAGGACCCTTATGAATTTACGTCATCGCTTAATTTTCAAAAGACGTGTGACGCCCAGTCGAATTCAATTTCGTCGTCATCGACTAATGAAACATGGAAAAATCGCTAGTTTCTGAGCAACGTCTAATTACCCATTAGCTCCAAACGGACAAGGCTGATAGTTAAAATTCGAATTTAGCTCCGAAAACTCACTCTTTAATTTCTGAAATCATTCTGAAATTTAAATCATTTTTGTAACCACTAAATGATTAGTGGAATTAAGACGAAGTGTCTTTTGTTTTCCGCGCAATTTTAAATACTTCAAACACCGCTCGTAAAGAGTAGAGTTTAATATCATATTAAAACCATTTCAGTTGCGAGTTAGATTCCAGCAAAAATATATATATTGAAAAGATTCTGTGTCCAGAAAAATTTGTGCCTTGATTTTTTCATCAAATCTCATTAAAAAAATTTGAAAAAAAAAACATTTTTCTTTCTTTAATTGGAAAAAAATTGAACATATCGAAAATATGCCAAACATTTTTCTTTCTTTGATTTATTTTAGGGGTTAATATTTCATTTCGATAGTTTTTCAGATACGAAAAACACTGGGCGTAACATTCTGATCTAACTGCGCAGCAACCTGGTATCCTATTTATCATGTTTTTAGCTCTTTGTTCCGGCGCCCCTTCTTGCTCATAGAGATATTTGTCAATGCTTCGCTTATACTGAGCTTCAGCAGATTTGTTCCTATTTAACTCATCTAAAAATTGAGCCTCCTATTTTACTCATATAGCAAGACGGACGCAATCGGATAAGCTGATGATAATTATAGAACGTCCCAACTGTTTGAAGCCACCATTAGAAGATTCCAAACCCTTGTTTGCCGAGAAGAAAAGACCATAAAGCACCATTATAATTGTAGCCAACAGACAGCTGGAAAAGTGTCAATGAACTCAATTTCTACAGACAAAAACAAATCACCTTAAATCTCATACAAATTCAAGGAACTTTCAGGAATCAGACTTCTGTAAAACTAACCAACTTGATAAACTGGATCAAAAATGAATTAAATTATGCCGTTGGAAAATCTTAAAATTGTATCCATTTTCGGAACTAAAAGATGTTCACATTTTTTGCAATACTTGCACTTTTAATAGAGGCACATAATTAATTTCCCAATCAGCAAATTGTTTTAAAATAAATTTAGGCACAAATCTAATACACTTCAGGACAAATTAAGCGCAAACTCTGGCTAAAAAGCTTGTTTTCAAAGATGATTTTGGAAATGATTAACTTTCAAAAAAAAAAAAAAATTTTTACGTTGACCAAGACTCATCGAAGCTAAACTCTGGAAGGTATCAAACTGAATTATTTTACGACATTCAACAAATTCAAGCTGCCTAAAAATAATTGAGGCAGATAATTAAAATTGGCATTTTTAGCCAGAAAAGTTCTTGAAATGAAATCAGTCAAACTTTGATTTGTATAATGACAAATTAAAGCTAGCACACATTCACATTGAGGCGAAGCTGCTTTTTTTCTGATCTGGTTAAATACGGCCGAGCTATCGCAAAAAAAGGATAATCGGTTACTGTGCAAAACCTACAAGAAAAAAAGTTTTTTTTTCGAAGTACTGTAGTTTTTTCTGCGTGGTGTGATAAAAAGATCTAACGTAAAAATATAATTTGGTATAAAAGTTTTTGATTCCCAAAATGGCATTAACAATCTCCAAAAACTAAATTACTCGATTAAACTTAAAATTAAGCATAAAAAAGGTGTTGTAAACGGTGTAACTTAAGCATAAATAAGCGTGCTCGCTCACTTTACTAGCTCAAATTGGGACGAAAAATAAAAAAAAAATCGAACCGGTTTTTTCTCAAAACTTGGTAAAATTTTCGAAATTTTTTAGTGTCATTCGATTTAGTGTCATTCGAATCAAGACTTAAAGAGCTTCAATATGATTTATATCACTCAAACAGACTGATGATTATTTGTGGTACCTGATTTTGCGTGGAAAACAAAAAGAAAAAAACAGCCGAATACAAAGTTCCTCCCCATTTTCAATGGTCTGAACAAAAATACTTAACATCAGTGTTTCCGTAAAAATCATTAAGCTGAGGTAAGGGTTGAAATTTGTTTACTGTTTGTTTTAGAAGCTGAAGAGAAAAATCATCTTCAAAATGAACTAGGAAACAATAGTATTAATACTATTAACTACAAAAATTTTTACCCTGACAAAGCCTCACTATAGAGATGGGAACTTCAAATGAACATACTTTTGCTCAAAAATGGGAGGAAAACGTCACTTTCTTTATCGACACTTTCTTTATCGACCTAAAAATGTTGCAAAATTAAGATCGCAATATGAATCAAAGATCAATCTGCAACACT